AGATCAGATGATAACTCAGTACCTAATTTTTTGAGGAACTGCCATGTTGTTTTTCATACCGACAATGCAATTTGTATTCCTAGAAACAATGCAAGGATTTCAAAGGATGTTTTCACTTTCTGGATGGTGTCCTTTGAAGCACAAGTCGTTAATCTGTTGAAGTTAAAATTACCCATAGTTTTCCCGTGTAGTTGCTCTCGATGTCATATATAATAACTTCTTCCACCAAATCCAAGTTCAGGAAATTTTTTCCTGTATTTTATCTAAGTTGATTATAGTTTTCCTCTCACGTTTACATCTTTGCTCCTTACTAATAGATTATTGTATGTGGTGTGACGTGAGTAGAACTTCTTTCTTTTGCATATGGCCATCCAGTTCACCGGGCACCAATTTATGAAGAGTATTCTTTCCCCATTTTTGGAAGCTTTATCAGAGATCCGTTGGCCTTAAGTGTAGTTTATTTTTCAAATCTCAATCTGTACATAGGTCTGTTATGTCTCTTCTTATGTAGGTCCCACACTACCTTGAGTACCTCTGCTTTAAGTTTTTGAAAGCAAGACGTGTTAGCCCTACTACTTTGTTTTTTGTTTTCAAGAATGATTGGGTTATTCAGGTCCCTTGCAATTCCTTATAAAACCATGAAACAGCTTGCCTCTGGCAAATTCAAGTCACCAGTTTACATGTTCCTGGAGGCTGTGGGCTCCAGATGTTTCACCTCCAGGTAAGGGACAATTCTCTGTATTTTCTCTGATTCTAGGAGCACAGTTTGGTCATGTAATCTCAAATCTCTCACGTATCTAGGAATAGGTGTTGCCTTTCAGGTTGTTTACTTTTTTTTTTCCTAGTTGTGAAGATAACAGTGATCACTTGAGATCTTTACATATCAGAGCAGGAACCATCCAATCAGTTGTGTTTCCCTTATAAGGGAGCACGTAGTTTTCCTTATAAGACTATACATTGTTTTCACATATTCATTCCTCTGCTAGTGAACATGTCAGTGGTTTCAAAGTTTTTCTTCTATGATCATGCTTGGATCACTGCATTTGAATTTCTTTCCTCACTTCTGAAAATTCCCTACCCTGAATACCTGTTTGTCACTCTAAAGCCATTTTCCATGCTTTACCTTCTGTTTTATCATTGCTCTTTTCAGAGCAGGATTAACAGTTCACCCAAAAGGGAATTAGGTGGAAACACTGATTTTGTCATGGGCATAAAAGATGTTTATTACTCAAAGGTACTTTCTAAGGCGGGTAGTGTAAGGGTAAGCTAGTTCAGGTGGCTTGTGCAAATAGGTTCGCCCTTTAACGTGTATAGGAGTGGAGACTGCAGGATTTCAAGGTTTGACTCTCCTACCCACTGGCACAAAAAGAAAAGGAGCATGTCTCAACCTTCCTAACTTAGTTATCCATTGTAGTCCAGGCAAGTGAGCAGGTACCTAAAGCCTTAGGAGTCAAATATCAAAAAAAAAGGATTTCTTTATTACAGTTCACGCTTGAGGTTTATAGACTCAATGATGCCACATCTCATTTACATGAATTTGAATATTAATTGAAAAGCCATGTGAAACAAGTAACATAATTAACATAAAACATAAAAATCATCGTTTTTGCCTTTTAGCAAGCAACAATTATGATCACCAATGAGAGGATAACTTTATCTCCTCACATCATTCGATACAGAAAAATGTCTAGCTCGCTTAAATAGCAACCACATCCTCTAGCAAAAGCCACAATCCTACAAGAAGTCTATTTCAGCAGTGCGTTACTCTTATACCTCACAGCCCTTTAGAGTCTGCAGTCATTTTTATTAGAATTCATTGCATCCCCTCTTTGACCACCAGTGTGACTCTGTGGGTCACTGGTGAGGGTGCTGAAAAATCTGCTATAAGTTTTTGGTAGGGCGAGTGAATAAGAAATTAGTTTCATGACAAAAGTTACAATGAAAAAAGAATAAAAAATCAAATTTGTCTGAGGGAAAAACACCAACTTGTATGCCTATGATAGTACTAATTCATAATACATAATGAATAAATGAAGAAAACTGCAAGGTTTATCTGAATATCCATAATGATGATCATTTTAATATATTCTCTTAGGAAATGAAAACCACAATACTTGTTAGCATGTGTAAGCTTCAAAAAGAGTTGATAAACTATTTCTCTGAAACAACTACAGGAACTTTTGTTTCACAAAAATGCACATACTTAAAAAATTCACATATTTAAAAAAATACATGCACTTTTAATCACATTCAATCAAATATAATTGTAAACATAGAGGGATTATGTTCAGCTACAAGTAAAAGAAAGAGCCCAGCATCTTCCTGATATGTGGAACGTGGAAGGTGCTGATTCCCACATGGAAGGACTGGGTCAAGGCAGCCACAACACACTACAGCAGAGAAACAAGCTCCTGTGTCATTCTTTTTGGCTGCACCATTGTAAACGTCACAGTAAATCAGGAGAACATACTCAATGGCACTATTAATGGCATAAGGTGTTTCCTACACAAATTAGACATTGTAAAGATATAGCCTACAGAAGAGGGTAATGTAAAGACATAATCTACAGAAGAGGGTAATCAGGCAATGCTCCCAACCATGAAACTCCGAATTACTTTCCGAGGACACACAAGAAACCTTACAGAAAAATTCAAACTCTGACGGATCTTTGATGTGGAAGTTGGTAAGACAGCAGGGGAAAACTACACCTCTAAGCAAATGGAAATCAACCATTTGTTGGTGGGTTGAGGATACTCTTAACTACATGGGTACTGAACCTGCAAAGTAAGCTGGAAGATGGCGTCCTTGAATCTCCTGTGCATCTGCCTTCTCCCAGTGTGGTGGCTTTAAAGTCTGAAGAACACCTTCTCTCCATCTGCTTTTCAACCCAACTCAAGGGACACTCTTTGTGAATTCTAACATGAACCACATGGGGGTAAGTTATGGAAAATCTAGGTCCTAACCTTATCCACAGACAAGATATCTCCAACTGTTTTAGTGTATTTTTTTGGGGAGGAGGTAGGTAATTAGTTTATTTATTTTTATCTTTTTAAATGGAGATACTGAGGATTGAACCCAGGACCTTGTATACGCTGAGCATGCGCTCTACCCCTGAGCTATACCCTCCCCCCAAATATCTGCAACTCTAGACTTCTCTCTCCTATCACAAGTCTCTCTTCTTAATTCAAATTCTATTCACCAAATGCCAGTCAGAAGGAAAGACAAAAAGCAAATGCCAAAGTCATAATTTACATAAAAGTGTATCTCTGATAACCTTGTCATACATAAAAATGGATTCCAAGTGTCTAAACAGAAAGGAAAATGGAAAAAGGCCCCAAAGCCACCACCTCCAAAAAATGATCTTTCTCAGTAGAAAAGGTAACATATATATAAAGGATTAGAAATATCTGGGAACTGCCACCCAAGGCCAGTAGGAAAATCCCAACAAATACCAAACTGCTATTTCCTATGGCCCTTTATCTGAGAATAAATAGAATATTATAAAAATTTAAGCCTAACTGCATATTAGAATTACACTTTAATTCAACCATGGATCCAACAGGCTTCAAAACAGAGAGAGAAAAAAAATCATTATTTGATTAAACAAACAAACAAACAAACAAAAAACACTACCTTTAAACCTTATGTACAACTGTTGAAAGACAGCTGACAGATTTAACTCACATTAATATTCATTCCTGAAAATGCAGAAATCAACCACCCAAGGATGCACTTTAAGATCCTTAATAAACACAACATATTTATAAACTTTTAAAACAACTTTTTCATACTGAAGGTCTTCTGGAACATCAGGCATGGATTACTTTCCATCAAGTTGTCTCATGTTACACTTACACTTCTTCTTCATGGGAGTTTTCATATGTAACGATGTGGGCCCACTGAAGTCTTTCCCAGGCTGTTTACAAACAAGAAGTTTTATCTAGTGAATCCTTTCATGCTTTTGTAAAGCAAAGCGATAAGAGAAGGCTTTCCCACATTCTTCACATTTATACGGTTTCTCTCCAGTGTGCACTCTCATGTGCCTTCGAATGCTTGCGAGACAAATGTAGGTTTTCCCACATTCGTGACACTCATAGGGTTTCTCTCCAGTGTGAGTTCTCTCATGCACTGGAGCATAAGTGAAACTGAAGGCCTTCCCACATATGTTACACTCACAGGCGTTTTCTCCAGTGTGGGTTCCTTCACGATCCAGAAGAGGTCTGGGAGTACTAAAGACTTTAGAACATATTTTACACACATACGGTTTCTCTTCAGTGTGAGAGCGTCCACATGTTTGAAGAGAACTGGTAAAAATCAATGCTTTCCCATTTTCCTTACATTCATACAGTTTTTCTCCAGTGTGATTTCTTTCATGATGTTGGAAACCTTTTTTAGATCTAAAGCGTTTTCCACATTGTTTACATTGATAGGGTCTCCCTCCATTGTGACTCGTTTCATGTATTTTAAGAGAACTGGGATTAATGAAGGATTTCTCACGTTCTTTACATTTATAAGGTCCATCTCTTGTGTGTGTTATCACGTGATCTTGCAAGGTTTGATACCACGTGAAGGCTTTTCCACATTCCTTACATTCGTAGGATTTTTCACCAGTGTGGGTTCTTTCATGATTTCGAAGCGAATGGGGACTACTCAGTGCTCTAGAACATGTCTTACACACAAACGGTTTCACTCCAGTGTGATGCAGAACGTGCAATCGGAAGGAACTGAAATAACCGAAGCCTTTGCCACACTGCTTACATTCATAGGGTTTCTCTCCTCTGTGGCTCTTTTCATGTGCTCGAAAGGTTTGTTTCCATCGAAAGGCTTTTCCACACTGTTTACACTGATAGGGGTTCTCTCCAGTGTGAGACCTTTCATGCGTTCGAAGAGAACTGTGATACCTGAAGGCTTTGCCACATTGTTTACACTGATGGGGTTTCTCTCCAGTGTGACTTCTCTGGTGTACTTTAAGAGCATAGGAACTAATGAAGACCTTTTCACATTCCTTACATTTATAAGGTCCATCTCCAGTGTGTGTAATCATGTGTTTCTGAAAGGTTATGAGCCATGTGAAGGCTTTCCCACATTCCTTACACTTACACGGTTTTTCTCCAGTGTGGGTTCTTTCATGTTTCCGAAGAGCACTGAGTACTCACTGCTTTAGAGCACGTTTTACATTCATACAGTTTCTCTCCAGTGTGACTTCTTTTGTGCACTAGGAAGGAAGTAAAATAATTAGAGGCTTTACCACCTTCCTTACATTTATATAGCTTGTCATCGTATTTTTGAAACTCTTCTGGTTTACGTTCAGTGTGACAGCTCATGTGTTTAATAAGAGATGACTGATCCGTGAAGACTGTTGCACATGCACTGCATTCCCATGGTTTTAATCCAGGAGTTTTCTTGTTTAGATTGACAGTTGGAATAAGGTTGAAGTTTTCTCCACATAGACTACTGTCTTTACTTTCAGAGAGTCTCTCTACCATGTGACTTCTATAAAAAAATGAGAAGCACATTTTTAATGATTTCCTTATTGATCTTACATTTATTGTATTTATTATGATTTATAGGAATAGGATAGGTTTTCCACCTTCTGTGAATTATTAGAAAGTGAATATACTGTGCACTGCAATGGGACTTCACCCTTTCTACTAGTAAAAAGTGATATTCAAATACAGAGTTTATTAAATACTCTTTGCAAGTGAACCTATTTTGCAAACACCTAATATTTTTGTCACACTTAAGAAAATGTTTTTGGTAGGAATTTTCTAAGAAGTACTAAATTTGAAGACAGAGCTGTTTGTTCCGTTTACTTGTTTTTAAAATTTCATAATTTACCAGGAGCCTCACATGAGACAACGCTTTGTATTCTGAGTGTGACTTACCTTAGTTTTTGCGCCTGGCTTTTGTACTGATCTCCAATGTCATGACCTTCCCATGTTTTTCCTAAAATGCAGACCCAGAAAAATTATTCAAAAATACTAGAAATTAATACAAATTATTTGATTCTATGTCCATGGTTAACTGTGACCACGCTCAATTTATGTAACAACAACCTCCCTTCCCCAATTCCACATCTTTGAATGGTGTCAGTAAGCATGAAGCATTTGTTCTCTAATTGAGGAGGTGAGGGAAAGTCATCATTCTTACTGACTGAGGTCAGGTTCCAGAAGATTTCCTGCATCACATCTCTGTAGAGTTTCTTTTGTGAAGGATCCAATAAAGCCCACTCCTCCAGGGTGAAGTTCACAGCCACATCCTCAATGGCCAGTGAGTCCTAAAACATCCCAAATATGTAGAGTAAGATGCATGGGACTGACAGAACTATACATCTATACTCAATTTACAGGAAGGTTACATATGACCCTGTATGACTCAGTCATCAGAAACTTAACTCTCTCCGTGCTTCCTCATAAATTTAACACTATCATGGGCACATGGAAATTAATTATGCATTATTTCTGTGATCACATTATACCTTATACCTCATTAACAGCAGAGCCCAGATATTGTTAGGAACAGACAGAAATGCCATACAAGTGAAATGGATATCCTTTTAAGAACAATGATTTCATATGAGAAAAGTTCTTTCATCTTCTTCCTTATTATCCACCATTCACAGCACTCCATGAGGCAGAGGGTCAAGTCTGCATGAGTTTTTAGAGAACGAGTTTCCTGAGAAGAACTGAAAACTCCCCCGACATTCTTATCACCAAACATGAGAGTCCACGGGGCCTGTAGAAATCAAATTTTTAACAAAGCCCAGCTGGCCACATTGTCCCAAAGTCCTCCAACCCTTTAGAAGTAATCAGATGCACCTGACTGAATATAAATATTCTTCTGGGGAAGCACTGATTTTAAGTTGTATAATAGTTATCATAGACTGTGTTCTTGCTTTCTTTATATATGTAATTTCATGCAGCTAGAAAGTTATTTAAACTTAGAGCTCAGACGAGGAAAAAGGAGTAACAACTTAGATCACAAAATCCCTACACTCTTGTGCCTCAGGGTTTCTTCCAGTCAAAGTTTAGAAAACATAGTGAGACAATGTGCCAGAATAGCTCTTTCTGGTTGGTCAAACCCTGTTCCCTTGAGGAACAGGTTAAGAGCTACACCTTGCAAGGGAGTTCACTGGAGTCCATGTGATTTGATGGTGAATTTGTCCATGATTATAAAATATGTAAAGGTTGCATCAGTGGTTTTCTCCAAAACAACATGAAGTCTTAATTCTGTAATTTCAGGATGGTGTGTTTCCTGAGCAGCCACTCTAGCTGCTGCCGGGCCAACACCTAGTCTGGAATTTATGAATTTACAAGCCGTGATTCTTGATCTCAAAGAAGAGAATGAAAAAAACTTGAAATAAACAGGTCTTCCTAGAGCCATGAGACCACTGACTGCAAAGGGCAAAGTGATGCTCCAAAACTAGAAAAGAGAAAATAAAGACTTTTTGAAATATGCCCCAAATATTCTGTTCTTAAAGCCTGTAATAAAAAGAAAAAAAAAAGTTTCACTAGAGTCTAATGCATGGACAAAAGGAACAAAAAAGATACAACACAATATCCATGAACCCTAGCATAACCTTCCTTACCACAAGATTTGAAATACACGTAATGAAAATAACTGAAGGAAAAGAAAGAAAAAGATGACACAAGAAAAAAAGCACTGAGGTTTTCCTAAATTTAATGACAGACAACAACTGTAGATCCACGAATCTCAGCGAACACTAACATGAAAACACTGAAAATGGAGACCAAATTATATCATATTAGAACTAGAGGAAAATCAAGGGCAAAAAGAATATATTTTAAGAAACCAAAGAGGGAAACAGACCTCAATTTTGGAAAAACAAATTGAATTAAATCAGACTTTTTTTCAGAAAACAAACAAACAAGAATGCAGTGGATTGAAATACTTAAAAGTAATTTAAAAACCACTCTCAGAATTGTACATAAAGCACAATTATCCTTAATAATAAAGAAGAAATAAGGACATTCTGTGGCAAAAATTCAGGGAATTTGTCATTAGTCAACCAACTTTGAAAGAAACTTGCAAAATTCATAAGAAAGAATACAGATGATGGTGGGTTATAAGAGAAATAAATAAAGATAAACATCTTTTAAATTATCACATGTAACACGTGTCACTTTGTGTAAAATAATATTAGCAAGATGACATTGGTAATGATAATTTTGTGGATAAGTGAAAATAAATGACATCCATGTAAAAAAGGATAGAGTTGGGGGAATTGGGACAGTGTAGTATGAGGTAACCACACAACCACTGAAGAGATATAGTGTTATTTGACAGAGGATGTGTGTTAGTTCTACATGTATACTGAAAACTCAAGGGCGGCCACTAAAAAGGTTTTTTTTCTTAATGTGTAATTGATAGGCTAAGAGAGGATAAACTGAAGACGCAGAATGCTCAGTTAAAGCCAGAGAAGGTAGAAAAAAAGGGGGGAGACAAAAGAAAGACTAAACAAGGGCAACCAATAGAAACGATAGAAGGTGTGATAGATACTAATCCAACTGTATGAATCACTACTTTAATCACCAACGCTCTCAATACAAATGAAAGACAAATATAATAGTATGAGATTGTAAAAATTGTAATTCTATTTCATCTATGAAAAATCCTTTTTACATATGAAGACACAGATAGATGAAAGGTAAAAGGACAGAGAAAAATGCACCATGCCGAAACTAATCAAAAGAAAGCCGCCAGGGGTGTGTGAATTTCAGACAATGCAGACTTCAGACCAAGGAAAACTCAGAGATAAAGGGCTTTACAGAATGACAAAAAGATCCAAGAAGGCATAACAATCCTTCATGTGTATGTGCATAACAACAATGGGGCAAAATACATAAAGCAAGACCAGAAATAATGCAAGGAGAAATACATGAATCTACACCTATAGCTGCAGACAGTCACATTCCCTTCTCACGAGCTGTACATTTCAGCAGGCAGAAGATCAGGAAAGACAGTTGAACTGAACAAGCACTGTGAAACAACTTGATTTAACTGTGGTCTATGGAATGCTTTATTCAACAAGGGAACTACACACATTCCTCACAAGTTCACATGGAATATTCACTAAGACAGAACACATCCTTGGATGTAAAACATACCTTCATAAATCTGGAAGAACAAAAATCATACAAATTATGCTCTTAGACCTCACAGGCATTAATCTAGAAATCAGTCACAGCAAGAGAGAAGGAAAACACCCCGTTAGGTGGAGATTCCACAACACATTTCTAAATAATATGTAAGATCAAAAAAGTCTCAAGAAAAATAAAATTTATTTCAATTAAATGAAGTGAAAACACAATGTATCAAAGGATATGGGATGCAGCAAAAGCAGTGTGTAGAGGGAAATTTATGCCATCAAACAAGTACACTGGAAAAACATCAAGTATAAACCTTAATGTAAGCATCTACCTTAGGAAGCAATAAAAAGAAGAGCATATAAAATGTAAAGTACGCAGAACAAAAGAAATAATGTAAATTAGAAAAAATGAACATAATTGTGAGATCAAAGGAGAAAAAAATTTTTAACTCTGGTTCTTTGACAAGATTAATAACACTGACAAATATCTAGTCAAGATAACTAAAAATAGAGGGAAGACAGAAAGTACTAATATCAGAAAGGAACAGAGGGGAAAATGAAAATTAAAAAGGATTTGATAAAATCCAACATCCACTTATGAAAAAAACTAGTAATAGAGGGAACTTTCACTTCTTTAGAAAGAACATCTTCATGAGTCCTATAGCTAAAGTGGTAACATTTGTTTGTATAGCATGAGTCTCCCTGTGACACATCTGAAAGAATCCATAACAACAGAGATAACTCCTGGAATTAATAAGAGACTAAGACTGAAGGTTAACCAATTGCTTTCCCATAGACCCACACAAATATACTCAACTAATCTTGGACAAGGAAGGAAAGACAATTCAAATGAAAAGGAAAACTTTTAAACAAATAGTGCTGTAATTAATGGATATCCACATAAAACACCTGCACACACATAGACACACAAGAAATGTAGACACAGTTCTTATACATTTCACAAAAATTATCACAGATTTAAATATAAAATGCAAAAGTAATAAACTCCTAGAAAATAATACAGAAGGAAATGTAGGTGACTTTGGGTTTAATGATGAATTTTCAAAGATAACACCAAATGCAAGGTCTGGAAAAGAAAAAGTAGAATTTCACTTCTTGGAAATGAAAAAACCCCTGCTCTGAGAAAGACAGTGTTAAGAGAAAAGACAAGTCAGAGAGTAGGAGAAAATCTTAGCAAAACACTTGTCTGGTACATGACTGGTATCCAACATATCCAAAGAACTCTTAAACTTTAACCGTAAGGAAAAAAACAACCTAATTAAAAATGGGCAAAAGATCTGAACAAACAGTTCCCCAAAGAAGATATACCAAAAAGAACCAGGCTACAGGAAAATACACTTAACATCAAATGTCAGTAGGAAATGGAAAATACAACACAATGAGGTATCACTACACATTTATCAAAGGCTAAATTTCAAAACTCTCAAGAGCACCAAATTTTGGTGGAGATGTGAATATAATCCTCATTCAGTGCTGAGGGGAAAGGAACTTGGTACCCCAACAATGCAAGACAGCGGCTTTCTTTAAAAAAAAAAATATATATATATATATACTCTTACTATGTATAGTAAGATCCAGCAGTCATACTCCTTGCTATTTGTCCAAATGAGTTGAAATCTTATGTTCCCAGAAAACCTGTACACAAATAGCTATAGGGGCTTTATTCATAATTGGCAAGAGTTAGAGTTAAGCAAGATATCTTTGAAAGGTCCAATAAACATAATCAGTGGTATATCCATATGATGAAATACTATTCAGTGATTAAAAAAAAATGAGGTTATCAAGCCATGAAAACATGTGGAGAAAGCTTGAAAGCATGTTGCTAAGTAAAAGAAGACAATCTAACAAGGCTCCATGAATGATATATATGCATATGATTTTCTGGAAAAGGCAAAAACATGAGACAATAAAAAGATCTTTGGTTTTGAAGGATTTGGGGGTTGGAGAAAGAGATGAATAAATAGGTGAAGCACAGAGGATTCTGAGGGAATTAAAATTCACTACATGTGCATAAATGATAGACACTTTTGTATATTTCCCAAACCTATACATTGTACCCACATCATATTATACAATAAAAAAAGTCCACGTTAATGCACTCTCTGCACTTTAATCATCAGTAATGGTTCAGCAGTTGGAACAAAAGGACCTGTCATACAAGATTTTAAAAATTGTGAATGCTGTGTGGATGGAGATGGGTTTTGTGAGAATTCTCTATAATTTCTGATCCATTTTTCTGTAAACCTAAGACTGCTCTAAAAAAGCTGAAGTCTATTACCATATGGTCCAGCAATCCCACTCCTGGGCATGTATCTGGGGGGAATGCTAATTCGAGAAGATACACACACCCCAATGTTCACAGCAGCACTATTTACAATAGCCAAGACAGGGAAACAACCTAAATGTCCATCAACAGATGACTGGATAAAGGAGTTGTGGTATATATACAATGGAATATTATTCAGCCATAAAAAAGAATGAAATATTATTCAGCCATTTGCAACAACATGGATGGACCTGGAGACTGTCATTCTAAGTGAAGTAAGCCAGAAAGAGAAAGAAAAATACCATATGATTATCACTCACCTGTAGAATCTTAAAAAAATAATAAAAGACACAAATGAATTTATTTACAAAACAGAAACAGATTCATAGACAGAAAACAAACTATGGTTACTATGGGGGGGGAAGGGGGTGGGAAGGGATAAATTGGGGAATTTGCAGAAACCAACTACTATATATAAAATAGATACACAACAAGTTTCTACTGTCTAGCACAAGAAACTATATTCAATATCTTGCAGTAACCAATAGTGAAAAAGAATATGAAAAGGAATATATGTATATGTATTATGACCAAAACAGTCTGTATACCAGAAATCGACACCACATTGTAAACTGACTAGACTTCAATAAAAAAAAAATTTTTTTTTAAAGCTGGTCTCTCCCCCCCACCTCTCTCTCTCTATATGTGTATATAAAAGATGAAGACAGAGCAGTACAGCTCACCCCTGCGGACTGCCTGAGTTTTCATTAGGTGGGGTGACTCCCAGGGTTACTTCTTCATGAAGAATGTCCCAACTGAGGGGTGAAGGGCAGCAACTCTCCACTGAGCTCCATCAGGTACCAGGGTGTGTTGTCATCCTTAGTCTATGCAGTCCCCAGAGCTGTGCATTCAGTTAACGCCAAGCAGCTACCCAGGGAACCAAAGTGTTGGAGAAGGGTGCCTCCTCCAGCACCACAGCATCTCTCAAAGGACTGAAGAAAGAAACATCTCTCCAACGAGAGGCTTGGGCCAAAGGGCCAAGGTGTGGCTCCACATCACAAGCAGGTATCAGTAGCCAAGCTGAGCTGCTGGGCTGCCTTCTCCAGGGCCAGAGCCATAACAGCACCTCCACAGGATCAGTGCTTAGGAGAGGTCTCTATTTTCCAGAGAACCCAGCACATGGGGATAACCACAGCCTTCATGGCATATTACCATGGGGCCTGGGGCAGTGCCTTGCATCAGAAGCCTATGGATAAATTACCACCCTTGTCCAGACAGCCTCCAATCCCTGCCTGAAGGGTGAGAGGATGCCTCATGACACTGATTGCTTTATAGAATTTAAGGACCTTGAGCTTAAGTTGGGTTGGAACTAATCCCTTTGCTGTACCAAACTGGGACCGTGGGTGTTGTCCACCCTAACCCAGAGCATAAGGATCTTTGTTGCAAAAGATGCAGGGACAACAGCCTCAGAGTTACTTAAAAGTTTTGGTGAGCCTTCTGCAATCTCACCACCTATTCTCTTTCACATTCCCTGAAATAATTGCTCTTTTTTAAAAGTACTATCTTTTGGGTTCACCTCATTCACAGGGTATAATCGTGCTCCCCGCTCCCCCTCCCCCCCAGCATTGTCTGGACAAACCCAGCCTCAGTCACCCCTTCACTGTAAACGCACATAGGTTCCAGCTCAGACATCCACCCAGGACTACTTGCAGGAGGGCCCCCTTCTCACACTCCTGCTCCCAAAGTACAAGGAATTAACAGAAACTGCCAACTCTGGGTCCTCCATATACAGAACCCAGGCTCGGAGGGGTCAACAACGCAACTCAGGGCAGCACAGCGCACAGGAAACGCGCCCCAGCAGCAGCAGCAGCCGCTCGCGGAGCAGGAGCCTCCGGGCTTTCTTAACACCCTGTCCAGGTAAGAAGCACTAGGGGGAAAGGGAAGGGTGAGGCTTAACTTTCAGCAGTCAGACATCAAACAATGTGGATCCCAAATAATCATGGCAAGAACAAAAACTGTAAGAAAATTAGACATTCCCAGTGGCTTGTTTTTATGTAAGGAAACACTAAAGGGATAATGAAACAGTAATCAAAACTGGTTATTTGAGGTGAGAAAGGAAATCAAGAAGGGACAAACCCCTTATGCTTGCTTTGCTTGCATCCCTCAGCAGTGAAAAAGAGGAAAAGTTACTGCTCCTAGCCCCGCTTTGAATACACAATATCTGGAAGCTTGACATGTATAAAAGACAATCAGACCCCAAGCCGGGTGCTCAGTCTTTGGAGGTAACTCCGCTGAGCCAGCACCGGTGCGGAATAAACCAGTCTTTTCTGATCCTCCGAGTGCGTACCTTCTGTCGCTTCCCGCCGGGCTAATTCTTCTGTAACAAGGGGTGGCTGGAGTTAAGAGCAGAGGCGTGAAGGAGGATATGCGTGCAGGGAGTCTTAAGTTATTTTTCTTCCTTATGAGTTTAATTTAAACTTATCTACAAAAGACACAACCACAAGATCTGATCCTTTAAACAGTAATGATTATAAAATTGCAATCCATAAAAAATGAAAACCCTCTTTCAAACTGAAGGGACAAGGGACGTTATAGTTTGTCCCGTTGCTATAGTAAACACAATTGTCTCCTAATGACCCTCCGGAGGTCACCACACAATCTGGCAGAGACAGCGCGCTGCGGGCGCAGAGCTGCCCAGAGAGGCTCCGGAGTCGAGGTGAAGACTCCACCAGCAGTGATCGGACAGGACGCCCGGGATTCAGGCTGCTGGCTCGGCCCCCAGGCTGCGAACCCGACGGGACGGAGGTCTGAGCGGCGCCCCCTGGGGGACTCGGGTCTGCAGGCTCCGGAGTTGACCATGAGGAGGCCAGCTCCAGGCGGTTCCGACCAGTCAGTCTCTCCGCCACGTCTCCCTCTCACACTCACCATTGCAAGGTTTCCTAGGTCTTTCTGCGTCCTTCCCTCGACTCCAACGACAAGGGCAGCTCAGGGCGCCACAGAAGATACGGAGGAGCAACCAGGGACCCCGAAGAGTACACAACACGAACCGCGAGCACGGCGGGAAGGATAAAGGACGTCCACGGCGGCTCGGCGCCTCGCCCCACCCACCTGCCTCAGCGGCCTCCTGATTGGACAGATTCCAATACCCGCCCCTCTGGTGGCTGAATGACAACCTGCAGGAGCAAGCCTGGCTCAGCAGAGACACTTTCCGCAGGTAGGATATGGGACCTGTCCCCGCCTATCACTTTGGTTTGTAACAGAACTTTTTCCTGGCCTGGGATTGTCTTCCGCAGCTCCTCGTGCACTGGGATTTCTGATTCAGTTTCACAGTGGAACAAGTATAGTTAAGAGGATGGCCCAGGCCAGACCTGCCTGTAACAAGACTATCTTATGTCCTAGGGGGTCAAGGGCTTGATGTGAGGCTGTGTGGCCAGTTATGGAACTGTGCTTCTTCTTAAGAAATGCAGACACTTCAAATGTGAACTGATGGATCTGTTCAAAGAAAATTGAAAACGTCTGAAAAGGATTCACCATTTTAGATGTCATTAAGAACATTCGTGATTCATGGGAAGAGGCCAAAGGATCAGCGTTAACAGGAATTTGGAAGAAGATGCTGCCAGTCCTCATGGATGATTTTGAAGGATTCAGGACTTCAGGGGAGGAAGTAATTGCAGATGTGGTGGAAATAGCAAGAGAATTAGAATTAGAAGTGGAGCCTAAAGATGTGACTGAATTGCTGAAATCTCATGATGAAACTTTAAAAGATGAACAGTTGCTTCTTATGGATGAGCAAAGAAACTTGTTTCTTGAAATGCAATCTGCTCTTGGGGAAGACGCTGTGGAGTATGTTAAATTACGACAGAAGGTTTAGAATGTTACATAAATGTAGTTAATAAAACATTGGCAGGGTTTGAGAGGATTTGAAACTGAGCAAGACCCTGCATGACTCTCCGGGGTACAAAAGACTTTCCGTGTTCCCCGTTTCTTGTTTGTAGAAAAATGCTTTAGTCTCCTAAACCTTTCCTGAGTCCCCAAGAGCAAGATATACATAAGTAGGAACTAATGAGAGAAGTGAGGGAATGCAGAAACAAAGGAAAAGCAATCAAGAAGCAATAGTTCAGAGATAAAACAGAGTATCTAGTTCCTCCTCAAGGGATATATGTAACAGTCTGATGCATATCTTCCAGTTGTTAATGCAGAAACTAAGACCCCGCCCAGGGGGAGAGGATGACTACATGCTGAGACCCCAGGCCAATCAGAACCAGAAGGTTGATGATTGAGATTCCAGTTACTTCACCACCAACCAATCAGAAGAAAGTCATACACCCTGCAACTCTCACCGCAAATGTTGCCTTTAGAAACTTTGCCCTGAAAATCACTGGGGAGTTCTGGTCTTTTGAGCGGGAGCTGCCCATTCTCCTTACTTGGCCCACGCAATGAACCTCTCTGTGCTCCAGACTCCAATGTTTTGGTTTACTTGGCCTCACTGTGCGTCAGGCACATGGACTTGGGTTTGACAACAAATTGACTCCAATTCTGAAAGAAGTTCTACTGTATCTAAAATGTTACCCAACAGCATTGCATGCCACATAGAAATCGTTCTTGAAAGGAAGAGTGCACTGATGCAGCAAACTTCATTGTTGTCTTATTTTAAGAAATTGTTACAGCTCTCCAGCTTTCAGCAACCACCACCCTGATCAGTAGCCACCAGGAAGGAGACACGACCTTCCAGGAGCAAAAAGATTTTTCCTTTCTCACTTGCTATCTAAACATTCAAACATTTCTTACTGTGCACCATGTAGTATACCTAAGGTATCTACAGACTAGTTAATTCCAGCCTCTGAGGACCGTAGTCGGCCCTGAGTGCCACAGTCCCCCCTGGCTTGCAGTGTGGGGTCGGTGCTTGTAGGCAGGACCTCAAGCATCCTCTCTGCTCACCCTATTTTTCTCTACATTAATTTAGCTAAAGATTGATAATCAACTAATAATTGATTTTTAAAAAAACTATTAGAATTGATAAAAGTATTAGAAGGATACAGGATCAGTACATAAAAATCAAGTATATTTCTACATACTTGCAGTGAACAAAATAAAAATTTAATTTAGAAAACAAATCGAATTACAAAAGCATCAAAAGGAGTACAATATGTAGGAATAAATTTAACAAAAGAGAAACCAAACAAAAGTTCTGAAATCTACAAAATATTTTTGAGTGAAATTAATAAAGATCTAAATACACTGAATAACCTTCCATGTACATGCATCAAAAGACTTAACATTTTTGAGACGGAAATACTCTTAAAAATGATCTACAGGTTCAATATCATTTCTATTAGAATCTCAGCTGACTTCTTTATAGACATTGGCAAGCTGTTTCAAAAATTCATGTGGGACTGAAAAGGCAACCAAAATAGCCAATCTTGAAATGTATAGGGGACAAAAAGATTAAAAGTTGCCTAGGATTGTTTTTTGGTATAGGGGGATGGGAAGACAGGGAAGTGATATCTAAACGGTACAGGGGCTGTTTTTGAGGCAATAAAAATGTTCAAAAATTGTGGTGCTGATTGCAGGTACCTGTGAATATACGGAAAACTACTGACTTGTACACAGTTGAAGAATGCAGTGTATGGTATGTGTATTTCATTTCAATAAAACTATTCAAATAAATAATTCATTAAGAGTTTTGAACCAATCTGTTAAATATCTTAAGGGTTTTCAGGTATACCCCGCATTTTCATAACATTTTATTGTTTTTTTTCTTATATTGGTGAAATAGGAATTCAGTTGCCTTAGCGATATTATAAGCCGTTTCAGTTTCAAAATCTCCAAGGACTCACCCAAAAACTATCTAAAGGAAATTTCCCTGTAGTGTAAAATGTACACTTGAGAGTTTTACTGAACACATCTCATAGCTTATGATTGGTCGGAGAAGAATCCCTGTGCCCAGGTGAGGGCTGCCGGATCCAAACTTCCCACCAGATCTAAGTGCTTGGAAGGATGTGAAATTCTTTAGCTAAAGTATCACCTGTATGGAGATGGAGAAGAAAGCCTCAACACTGCCAACAAAGATCAAAAGGGAGTCACGTGTTGAGGTCATTTTTAAGTGTGTTTGTAAACAAGGGTCACAGTATCATGAGTCGCCTTGCAGCCTATGCCAACCCCTGACCAGGCGAGCACATCAGACCCTCTAATCCCAGCTGGCCTGACCTGGGAGCCCACTTGCTCTGGACAAGGGCGTCGGACCATCCACAAACCGATTCTGGGATTCCCTCCGGACACCTGTGTCCCTCGGCTCAGAAGGAGCTGCAGGACGACACCACTGTTCGTCTAGGGCCTGTAACAAGTTTAGTTTATAAGCAAACGTCGGTGGAGATAGCTCAGTGATAAAGCGCATGCTTAGCTTGCATGAGGTCATGAGTTTGATCCCCGGTACCCCCGTTAAATTAAAAGTAAACCTAATTACCTCTCTCCTTCCCCAAATGTTTTAAAAAATACAAAAGCAAATATCCTTGGAGAGGACTGGTTTCCGCCCACCAGCAAAAGCTGGTACTTCTCAGTCATGTGACCTCCTGCCCAGTTGTCACTCTGGGAAGGGGGCGGGGCTTGCGGCCAATCTGGCGCATCAGGGGCAGGTGGGTGGGGCGACGCTCGGAAACCATGTGGAGTCTTTTTTCCGCGCTCTCCAGCGGGTCTCAGGCTCAGGTGTCTCTGCTGGAGGCGGAATCTCGCTGTCACCTGCACCTGCGTCCAGGGTCACCGATGACGCCGGCGAACGCTGGGAAGCGGTGAGTGTGCTGCGCCGGGCGTCCCGAGATGGAGACGAGGGGTTGGTCGGAATCGGCAGTGGCGCGACCCCAGCCTCCGGATGCTCAGCTCCGGCGTCTGCGACCTGAGTCGGCCTGAGCGCCACAGTCCCCTCTGGCTCGAAGTGTGGGGCCTGGGCTTGCTGGCGGGATCCCGAGCATCCCCTCTGCCCACCGCTGCGGGTGCGTCTGCTCCACGTTGTGCGGTGACCACGGGGAGGGTATGGAAGTGTTCATCCTGATGGGTGTCCCAGATTCGTGCGTGGCAGGATCGTGTAGACTGTGGGGTCCCCAGTCCCTCCTTTATCCTCAGGGAGGTGCCGTTTTCTCCTGAGTTTTCCAAATGTTCAGGGAACAGTGTCTCAAATCCTCCCTCCCCGCCCTCCGTCCCGCCAGCCTAGCTCTTCCTAGGGGGGAGAAATTTCCAAATTTCCAGATCTTTTCCACATTCCTAAACGCCAGCATCCCCGCCGATTCACAGCATCTATTCATCCTCCGTGATGCATTTCAAACAAATCCAATATATTGTTTATTCTTTTCCCACTGAGTCCTCTAGGGCTCTTTTTACAAGGCTTGATTTTTGTTTGGATCTCTTACCTGAGAGGGAAAGCGGAAAATAACCACCTGGAACTGCATGTATGAAATTCTTGTGCCTCTCACCCCAGCATCTTTTCTAGGGCACAGACATCCTACCGGAAGTCCTTTGGGGGGAGTTTCCTCTTTGGAAACTTGGTGATCTGTCCTGGCAGCACTGCCTTTCGTTGGGTTTGTCACTTTGAAAAGATTTATTCACTTATTTGAACCTCAATTTTTCAAAAATTGAAAATTTATGTAATCACAAGAGCTTGAAAGCCAGTATAAAATATTTCCAAAGAGGCGAGAAATAGGTGAATATCAGAAGAAAGAATACATTTTAGAAAGACATTGACTGTCTTAAAAATTCTTGTTTCCCTTTTTCCTCCCCTGACCTTGTGTAGTAATATTCTGAGATTGTTCTTTTTGGGCAGTTGGGGGTGGTTCAAATAGAATTTCAAATCTTAAACTTGAATACCAGAAGTGTTCAAGTATGATTGGTGGTTCATGAAACAGTTTCTTGCCATGGAAATAATATCATTATTTTCTGAAAGTAATCGATTCTTACTGTTTTTCTTATTAAACTAGCAAAATGCCTTACAGTTTCTTTCCCTCCTTTACACATAAACACCGGGATTAAATGATTTTGCTGGATTCTTCAAACACTGGGTTGTTAAAATATCAGTGGTGGTCAGTCAGTAGCAGTGTGACTGGGAGCAGAGGCCCGCGGTCAGTATCTCCAAGCACTGAGTCCTGTGTTAAAGGTTATGAATTTCAGGGCTTATTTTAATCACTGAGTCCTGCTGAGAGTTTTCTCACTGTGAGAATGGAAGCCTGAGAGAGGGTGCGGTTCCATT